GGGGAACCATATCCGGGTGACCTCTCTTGACTTGAACAACCGTTTAACTTGCTTTGCGTTTTTGTTTGTTTGAATCTGCACTAAAAGTTCACTGCTAGATAACGAGAATTCACCGAGTAGTCATCACATCTAGGACCCGGGTTGACAATAAAACCCAAACCCGCTATACTACGCTTTAGGAAGTGGTTACACTTGGCCATTTTCTAGAGTGACAGTAGGAGTGAGTCAAGCGAGCACCATACCGCATGGCCCCATCAAAGTCGGAAGAGTTGCGGAGGAAGCTCAAGGACTTGCTGGACGCAGGATACATGCGACCATTGAAGTCACCTTTTGGAGCACCGGTGTTGTTCCAAAAGAAGAAGGAAGGGGCGTTGCGCATGTGCATCAACTATGGAGCCATCAACAAGTTGATGGTGAAGAACAAGTGGTCGATTTCCAACATTGCGGACTTGTTCGACCATCTTGGAGATGCGTTGTGGTTCACCGAGCTTGATCTTTGCTCGGGATACTATCAAGTGAGGATAGCAGAGGGCGACGAGCCAAAGACAGCTTGTGTGTATGGCTCTTACGAGTTTCTTGTGATGTCATTCGGTCTTACCAACACACCCGCCACGTTTTGCAGCTTGATTAATCAAGTGTTTGAGCCATTCTTGGATCGATTTGTCGTAGTCTACTTGGATGACATCGTAGTGTATAGCAAAACACTGGATGAGCGTGTCGAGCACCTACTACATCAAGTCTTCCAAGTCCTTCGCGACAACGAGTTGTATGTCAAAAGGGAGAAGTGCACTTTTGCTGCCACGGAGGTTCCTTTCTTGGGGCACATCATAGGTGGAGGCAAGTTGAAGATGGATGGGGCGAAGGTGGAGGCAATCCAAGAATGGGAGCCGTCTACAAAGGTGCCAAAGTTGCGGTCATTCATCGGCCTTGCCAACTACTATCGGATATTTATCAAGGGCTACTCCAACATTTCAGCACCCTTGACAAATCTTTTTAAGAAGAACCAGGCTTAGGAGTGGTTGGAAAGGTGCGAAGAAGCATTCGATGCCTTGAAAGAAGCCGTGATGAAGGAGTCTGTGGTCGTGCTCCCCAACCCGATGTTGGACTACAAAGTGCAGACCAATGCATCTGACCTTGTGCACATGGAGGCAATACTTGTTGGGGTCAAAGTTCGTAGTGAAGATGGACAACGTGGCAACGAGCTATTTTCTCACGCACAAGAAGCTAACCCCCAAGCAAGCGAGGTGGCAAGATTTTCTAGCCGAGTTCGGCTTCGTGATGGAATACAATCCTGGGAAGGCAAATTCTATTGCAGATGCTCTTAGTCTCAAGTGTGCAACCGCAAGCATCATCCAGCCCATGTTTACTTTCAAGGAGAGAATCATCTAAGGCCTTGGCCATGACCCCTTCGCCAAAACCGTGATGGATTACATCGCGCAAGGTAAGGCTCGACAGTTTTGGATGAAGGATAGGCTCATCATAACCAAGGGAGAGTGTATATTCGTGCCAAGATGGGCCAACTTGAGGAAGGAGATCATGAAGGAATGTCATGATTCCAAGTGGATTTTTCATCCTGACATCGAGAGGACACAAACGCTCATCGAGGAAGCAGACTTCTGGCCGCGTATGAGAGATGACATGGGGATGTATGTGAAGACTTGTCTTGTGTGCAAACAAGACAAGATGGAGCAGAGAAGGCCGGACGGCTTGCTACAGCCCTTGCCCACGCCTCAACGACCATGGGAGAGTGTAAGTATGGACTTCATCGTCGGGCTTCCCAAAGTTGACGAGTGCGGTTGCATCATGGTTGTAGTCGACAGGTTCTCGAAGTATGGAGTGTTCACCCTGGGCCAAAAGACATTCCAGCAGAGTATGTGGCATGGCTTTCTTCAAGAACGTGGTCAAGTGTTGGGGCATTCCTAGCAACATTGTGAACGACAGAGATGGGCGCTTCATGGGCCGATTTTGCCGAGAGTTGTTCAAGATCATGGGTTTTGACTTCAATTTCTCGACTGCATTTCATCTGCAAAGCTACGTACAGACGGAGCGGGTGAACGCCTTGTTGGAGGTGTACTTGAGGCACTATGTGAGTGCTAACTAGCGAGGTTGGGTGAAGTTGATGGATATGGAACAATTCTCCTGCAACTTGCACCACAGCGAGTCGACCAACACGAGTCCATTCGAGTTGGCGAAGGGGTAGCAGCCATTGATGCCTACGAAGGTGGCAACGGGGTAATAGAGGCAATAGTCTGACAACCAACAAGTTCGCTAAAGGCTGGCAGAGAAGATGGAGATGACCAAGTCTTAGTTAGCCCGCGCTAGTAAGAAGATGAATAAATGGGCGGACAAGAAGAGCGACACCTGGAGTTTGAAGAGGGAGACATGGTAATGGTGAAGTTCTACCCTCATCGCTTCAAGCATCTCAAGAACATGTACAAGGGACTGCTTCACTGCTATGAAGGGTCATTCTCCATCGTGAAGAGGATTGGCAAGGTGGCGTACAAGGTGGAGATGACGTCGCGCTTGGAGATCCGATGGTCTTTCACCTGAGTCAAATCAGACTTTCAACGAAGACAAAGAGGACGAGTAGTGGACAGAGTCACATCGCGCACCAACACTCGTCATCAAGACACACAACCAGGAAGTCGAAGAGATCATGGCGCGTCGTGTCATTCCTCGTCGTAGCGTTCATCCTAGTTATGCGGAGTACTTGGTCAAGTGGCGCAATCTTCAGGAGAGCGAAGCTAGTTGGGAGAACGAGCTCACACTTTGGAAGAACAAAGACTTGATCAAGGCTTTCCCTCAAGAGGACGGGACGAGGGCGTCGCGAGCATAAGTGGGGGAGGATGTCACATGTGGCAGATGACATGGTGCCAACTAGGTGACAACATGGCGTGCACATGTGGCGTGTATGGATGACTAGAAGTATAGAGATGCCTCTAGGATTCTCTCAACATTTATGAGCATTATGGTGCACTTATGGGCCACATTATGGGTGGTATTAAAGAATGCATGATGGGGGGACTTTATGGTTGTATTGATGTAGAGGGACCATTATGAGGGGGCATTGATGCCTTGTATGTGGAGAGGCTTATATAAGGAGCCATCTCCCTCACTTGTAACTCGTTCCATCATTTTTTTAGAGTAATACACACTAGAGAGTTCTCCCATCTTCTTTGTCTTTGTTCTTGCTTTCTTTGCTTGCACGACAATTTGAAAGAAGGCTGCTTAGTTCTCTAATGGAATTGAGAGCTAAGGTCGTGCGACCAAGAGTAAGGTCGTGACCTAGAGCTTGTTAGCCCATGTTTGAGCCTGACTAATATGTGGACAAGTAGTAAGGAACCGACCAACTAGGTCGTGTTTCCATCTAGCGATCTAAGGCTGGATATAGACATGCCGATTCTCCTCTACAATGCCAAAAAGATCTACCCAAGAAAGAAAAGATTTGTTATAATTCCTAAAACTATGCAAGTGAATTATTTGTAACAATAATTAATGATAAGTACATTATTTTGTCTTCGGAAAAGGAAAATGAATGAGAATGATAAAATAATAATTTTTTATGGGACTAAATAATTCTATTATCATATGTAAAAGGATCACATAAATAATGTATAATGAAATATGACGTAAAAGAAAGAACACTTTATTAATGTGGTTCACATTGTTCAGAGTAAACGACACAACTTTACGACGAACTCAGTAACGAGCTCTTATCTACTCTTATTAGTTCTTGGTTCCCCTAACTTTGACTACATATATATATATATATATATATATATATATATATATATATATATATATATATATATATATATATAGGTGGCTTTTGTGGCATACTCAATCCTAAAATGAAACTTAAGCCTTCAGATTTTGAATTTTATGAATAACATTAATATACTACATACAATAATATAACATATGATCACAACTAGTCGTTATAGTATTCTAAATTCCAAACCTTAAAATCTTAACCCTAAAACAGAATCCATAAATTCTAGAAAACAACCCTTTATTTGGAAAGAGGGGAGACCATGGAAGGGGAAAAGTTACATCCCCAAGACATTTTCTTGTGTTCATGAAAAATATCGAGAATAGTAAAGAAAATATAATTGGGATAAATGAATTCTTCGAGCCTGATCTCCAGAAGAAAGTAAAGTTTGCAATCATTTTTATTTCTTTCCTGCAATTTCTTTTGCACATTCTTTACTTTTTTATTTTCATTATTTTGTATTGCTATTCTTGACTTACTTTTAAATATATTTTTAAACATACTTTTTAATCAACTTTTTCTCCATCATTTTCTCTCATAAAACAATATATTTTTCTACTATTTTACCCCTCCCTCAAAAATTTCATTCCCAAGATTTTAATTTCTCCTACATGTCTCAAGTTCGAATCTTTTAAATAATATCTAAAACAAAAACAAAAATTAACTTCTATGACCCTTATAGGAAAAACATATATACAATTACATTAACTAACACAGTAAACCAATTCCTACCACTTTTGTTGGATTTCCAATACCTAAAATTTAGATCAAATGAAATTAATTTCCGATCAATTATTTATTCCAAACTCAAAACTTAGAATCGAAACTTCTATTAAATTTCTTGACTTATGGGCTCTTCAAACAAGCGGCTAAAGTTTGTGAAGCAAAATGCTCTCTTTTTCAATCTCTTCCAAGTTCCAAGTGAGTCGTTCTGGACTAAACCACGTTATAAAAAAACTTGAAAAGACCCAACTGCAATTTTTCCAAACTAAAGGATAAAACTTTGACCTGGCATGTTTTGATTACCACGTTATAAAAAAAGTGACCTTCTTCGATAAATCTATGCAACACGTGCCCTCAAAATGGAAAGACTGGAGAAATTAAAAAGTAAGGAATATTCATGTAGCCGCCCAACTTGCTAATTGAAAATTACGAAAAATACATTGAAAGATGCTCCATCATCATCTTCTCTATATAAATTACGTATTACTAACAGTATTTCTATCTAGTTTCACCACCTCCCAGATCTAAAAAAAAATCCTCCGTCAAACAAACAAACATTCCTTCCTTCCTTCCCCAGAAAAAGAAGAAAAAAACGATGTCGTCGGCGGTCTCGAGCACCAGCTCTCCTCCCCAGCCGCCGCCGCTGCGGTCGCTGCCGGGATCCCACGGGTGGCCGGTGGTGGGGCCGATGTGGGACAAGCTGAACTACTTCTGGTTCCAGGGCCCCGTCGAGTTCTACAAGAAGGGGATCGAGAAGAACAAGTCGACGGTGTTCCGCACCAACGTCCCGCCGAGCTTCCCGCTGTTCGTGAGCGTGAACCCCAAGGTGGTGGCGCTGCTGGACACGACGTCGTACTCCCACATGTTCGACCCGGAGATCGCGGACAAGAGGGACACACTTCTGGGGGATTTCATGCCCAGCTTGGGATACACCGGCGGCCAGAGGACCGTTCCGTATCTCGACACGGAGGAGACCAAACACACTCAGGTAATTGAGGGAACGAATTTCTCTCCCCGGCCGCCTTGTTTTGGATTTTACTGCCCTAGTGGTTGGTGTGGGTGAGGTGTAGTTGTGCATTTTAAAATGAATATAAATGCGGCCATAATTGGACTTTGGTTGGCAACTTTTGTTTGTCTCGCCGACAGCGTTCAATTGGTATCCGTTATAAAAACTAGTGGGAATATTTTGGTATAATTTGAATGATCGATTTTTTAATCAAAATAAATGATGATGTTGTTTTGGTGATTGGAATATCTCGGTATAATCGAGATGATCGATTTTCAATTTCTAAACAAAATTATGTTGTTTTGATGAATTTAATTAAAACATATATATGAATGGTTTATTGAATTAGAAGGTTAAATGTTGATATTATTAGCCTTTTAGTATTTCATGGCGTAGCATTGGAATTGCTATGTTAGCCTTTGTTTACCGACGGTGAATTAAGTATGAATATTTAGATATTTGTTGAATTCAAATATAAATGTTTGATTATAAAAAAAAAAGTTTGGATGTTAAATGTTGTCAACCTCTTGATGGTATAAAATCCCACAATACTACATACAATATATAACGCCAAATTAATAAAAAAAAATATTGTATTAAATATGTGAGATTTTATATTTTGTTGGTATGTTGTATTTTATTAAAATATGAATTTAAATTTTAGAGACATTGTTTTCAAATATGTTTTATGTGACTAAATTCTTCTCTACATGCTTTGCTAAAACCGACATTTACATATATTTTGTTAAAACCGACTTGAATCATTATATCATCTGTCGTATCATACCACTTGCCAAACCAGTACAATTATATAGAACAATCTTGACAAAAACTCTCTTCTATGATCTGCACTATATATACTCTGCTCCAGAAATGAGCTTCAAAACTTGGATCTAATTAATGACTCATGTCATGGATTTTCCTTCAAATTGCATTGCAGATCAAAAGGTTCGGGCTGGACATCCTGAAGCGGGGCTCCAAGCTCTGGGTATCGGAGCTCCAGATCAACCTGGAGGAAATGTGGTCCACCGTGGAAGCCGAGGTGTCGGCCAAAGGCAGCGCCAACTTCGTCAACCCGCTCAAGCAGAACATGTTCAAGTTCATCAACAAGTCCTGCCTCGGAGCCGACGTCTCCAAGTCGCCCGACATCGCAAAATCAGGGATGTCGTACATCGACCGGTGGTTCTTCCTCATGGTCTTTCCGACGATCAACATCAACATCGTCCAGCCCCTCGAGGAAATCTTCCTCCACTCCTTCGCTTACCCTCCTTTCCTCGTCCGCGGCGGATACAACAAGCTCATTGACTTCATCAAGACCGAAGGTACGAGTATGAACATTTCTAATGCGTCAAATGTTATGAACTAGTTGATATTAATAGCTCGAGTTGTTGAAAGGAGTTCAGTAATCAATCTTATACCACTCACTAAAATAAAATAAAAAAGCTTTTTATTTGTATTAATGTAACTTTTTCTTTGTGGCACGACAATTCCAGCACGTGAAGTGGTCCAGCGTGGCATGACCGAGTACGGACTGACCGAGGAAGAAACGGTCCACAACTTGTTCTTCATGTTCTACTTCAACTGCCTGGAAGGGTTCAACCTCCTGCTCCCCGACATACTGGGCCGGCTGTTCACCGACAAAACCGGCCTGCAAGACCGGCTCCGGGCCGAAGCCAGGCAGAACGGTGGGCCGGACCTAACTTTCGACGCGGTGAAACAGATGCCCAACATACGGTCCCTAGTCTGGGAGACCCTCCGGTTCAAGCCGCCGGTCCCGACCCAGTACTCCCGGGCCAGGAAGGACTTCAGGCTCAGCTCGCACGACGCGTCGTTCGAGATCAAGAAGGGCGAGCTGCTGTGCGGCTATCTGCCGCTGGTGATGCGAGACCCGGTGATATTCAACGACCCGGATACGTTCCAACCGGACCGGTTCGTGGGCGAGAAGGGGACCGAGCTGTTGAAGTACTTGTACTGGTCGAACGGACCGGAGACCGGTGATCCGACCGCGACGAACAAGCAGTGCATGGGGAAGGACTACGTGACCCTCTCCGCGTCGATGCTCGTGGCCTACTTGCTGCGACGCTACGATTCGATAAGCGGGGACTTTACGACGATCACGGCCCTTGATGTGGCTAAGTGATATGAGATATTGAAGTGGTGGGTTTGATGCGGACGGTTGTGATTGTAAGTTTGATTTCATTTTTTCTTTAATTTTCATGTGTTGTTCTTGTGTTGTTGTGGCCTGTGGGCAATAATGGAAGGCCAGATATATATATGGCTTTGGGGACTGATCAAGTCGAGTCGTTTCTACTGTATTGAACCGGTTAGGATTGATGGTCTTGTGTTGTAAATTGTAATTGTGAGGCTCAGCGCCATGAGTTCTTTTGGATTGTGTATTTCTAGCTAATCATCACTTATTACCAAGGATTGAACAATATATTATAGAACAACACATATAACAGAATCAAATTCCAATAAGATTTCCAAGTGGGAATGTGTGCAACAAGACAGCTGCTGAATACAAATCTCAGGGCCTTTCAAATTCTTGCTTCAAAAGGGCTTCCTAAATCCAGGTGTATCTACACATTATCACTATCAAAACCATGAGTGGTAGTAGTATTATAATCGTAAGTGGACATCACCCGTATCAGATGATAGCGATGGCTCCTTATGCAGATTGGACGCTGCTTCCCTGAGTCTTGGTGGAAGCTCCTTCTTTCCATCCCTTCTGGCGCGCTCTCGTCTCCCACAATGCTGTCAGTTTCTTCTGTGCTACTAATGAGGCTTCGGCTTTCTCTCTCGCTTCTTCGCATGTTTCCATCCCTGAATTGCACTTGTCTGCTTCCTTTTGGTACTGGGATGTGATCTTCTTAGCCTCCAGCAGGGCCATACCAGCACGCTGCTGACTCTCCAATGCTTCGGTCTCCCGCAGCTTTAGTTCCTCTGTCAGCAGCTCGGAGAAGTTCTTCTCGGCATCTTCACTCACCTCAGGGTCGTGCTTCACGCAATCTACAACTCAAAAACCAATACATCCATTTATGGTTAGTTTCTTGTTGCCATAAGGATTTGGTGATTCTGCATACCAGCATGTGTAGAGCAGATGGTCGCCTTTGACTTAAGAAAGAATTTGATGAATCTCCAGAAGAAGGAAACAACCAACACAAGTATAGAAAGCTATTGGGGAAAGCCCCTTTGTTTTTTGTTAAACTCAAGGATTTGCAGATTTGCAAATACTCTAACAAGAAACCGGAATCTTAATCATTTGCAAATAAACTAGTCACTGATTAATGAACGAAAGTGGCAAAGAAAAAGAATAGAACATGTTAATATGATGACCTGTCTAAAGCAGGATGGGGAAATGAAGATACTATGAGATGCCATCAGGAGGAAGAAAGAAACTGAATACAAAATTTCTTCTCAAAAATAACTTGGGAATGAAAGTAGAAGGAAGAGCATATATCGAGCTAATGAACGATACTAGTCTATCAGCAGGTTCAACAGCACAGCACAAACTGCAAGCCTGCTGTAGGCATGACTTTATTCGTGATGCTGAGTATACTAGGTTTTGCATTAAATTGTTCAGGAAATCCAAGAAACGTCATTGCACTAATCCCACATAAGGTCATCAGCCTTTCTTTCCACGTTTATGCCCATTCATGTCCATACGGAAACCGATTAATTTTGATCACCAGATATTAATATGAACTCAAGTTGGTGATAGAGGATGAAACTAACCTGCAAACGTGGCGTTGCTCAATTCTGCATCAAGAGAAGACAGCAAAAAAACAGCAAGTTTAAGTGAATTTGATCTTAACCCGTTGAACAAAGAAGAAAAAACTAAGCTAGTTTACCATTCAGTGAAAACACACCAGCAACCACATATATAAGCAATTCATTATCAACTATGAAATAACTACAGGAATCAATCAAATTTGGCAGGGACGGGTGAAGTAGAGATCCTGAATTGACTTCCATTAGTACACAAGTCACATAATCAGAGTTTCCACACACTAAAAGGATCAAACATAGATACCGTCAATAAAAAACTTCACATTGACATCCCATTTTGTCGTAAACTTGAATATACTGGAATCAAAGACTTCAGCAAACACTAGAAATGCCAATCCAAAATCGTCCAAGATCTAGAATTTCACAATTCCATGTACACTTCACATATCAAATTCAGTTCTCAATTCTGAAAATGGCAGACCCAGATCTAAGAATTGGAAAGATGAAAGATTTTGAAAACCCGGAAAATTTCGATTTGAGGGAACTGACCTTGAGGGATGGCGAGAAGAGGCTGAGTGGAGCAATCGCAGAGGCAAGGAGGGCAAGTGGGAGAAGAAGAAGAATGGCTGACAGCAGCTAAACCTTCCCTGAAGTGCCAGTATAAAGGCGGACCCAGTAAGTAACCGGCCAAGCACAATCCCATTAGCCCCAGAGCCAGCTTCACCACCGCCGCCTGGTTCGCCGCCATGATTTTGCAGGGAACCTTTCACTCTTTCTTTTCGCGCTCCAAGGTTCCCCCCTCTTTCAGATCGCGGAGAAGGGCTAGACTCAGCAAACTGAGTAATGAATGGCGGAATGGGATCACGGCTGAATAAGAAATAAATTGACGATCATTGAGAAAGTAGAGGAGATTTGAGGAATATGAACGAACAGTGGACTTGTGCCCTTCTTTCTGTCGGTGATTTCACTTTAGCCTTATTTCACTGCAATTCCCAATTTTCCCCTCTTTCAGATCATGAATCGTGAAAGTCGAAATTTCAACATTATGAAATTGGCATTTTGTTATGACGCAACAAAAAGAAATGGCAATTTAGCAAAAAATATATATATATTTGCCACGCATACTAAAAAAATATTTATTATTATTATATTTTTCACAAAAAAGAGGAATTTTACAATGCTATATAGCATTAGTGCTATAAGTTTTTGTCTTTATGGTACAACTTGAAATTGTATCTTTAACGTTATGGTAAAACTTCAAATTGCACCTATACTTTTTATGCAAATTCTGTTATGATACAACTTGAACTTGTACATTTATCATGTGATGGTACAACTTCAAGTTGTAAAGTTGTACCATAACATATTGATACAAATTCCTTTATGGTACAACCTAAACTTATACATTTATTGTTATGGTACAACCTAAAATTGTACATTAAAACACCAATACGTGCTCTCACAAAAAATCACTTGCATTATAAAAAATAAGCAGAAACAAAGTTCAGGATTCTGAAAAGAAGCAAGATATGAGCTTCTTAGCTACTTTAAAGGTTATCTTATTGTTCTGTCTACCTACAAATTTCACCTTCATATCCTGGAAATCCACAAATAATCGACGAAGCTCTTGATAAATGGCTCCCTCTATGCAATCCCATATTGAATATTGATCCATGATTCACTTTATCAATTACCACCAGCATCACCTTCAAATATAATTCATTGGAATCTCTCCTGCAGGCACCATCGTACCACATCCCTCAGTGCAACCAGCTCCACAAGCAATGGCTCATGTGACCCTCAAAGACAATGCCCTTAGCCAGAACCACCTCTTATGTTGCATCACGAATGGCCATGTCAGATGTGAAATAAGATCCACTATAAACAGCCCCATCAAAAGAACACAACATCTATACCAAACTTCCACTAGAAATTCTAGTATCATTTTGTCTAGAACCCTAAGGCTTGCCCCCAAAATCTCTCTCCGTAAGTTGCAACGACTCATCCACATGTACCTCAAATAGTCTGATCAACGGACGAAAAAGAAATTTGTTTACCTTCAAATACCACCTAGTTCATTCCTTACATATGCACCAGAGCACATCAACCATCGTTACCACCCTCTATCGCGATGAATCCTGCTCAAGAAAATGCCTATATCGTGTCGAAAACAGGTCGTCTCCCAAAAGGCAATAACCACCAGACAGAATACAAAAGGTGTTCCAAAGATTCCTCTACTACCCAACACACAACATAAAGTGTAAGAAGCAGAACTTCTCTGATGTGCATGACTCGCACGAAACTACACCACAAATTAATCCCGACTAGAGCCCAAGTTTTTAAACTCTAGCCGGGTGCAGTATAAAGCAAGTATTTAAATTGTCAACCCGAGCTGGTCCATGTACCCCTACTACAATCGCTCAAGTTGTTATCTAGCAAAACGGTTTTGGGTTTTCAAACTAAGAAAACTACAAACTAAACAAGTAAGGAAAAGTACATAAAGGAAAACTCTAACTAAGGGAGCTTCACCCGGGAGTTGCTTCCCCCTAACTAGCTACCATAACTCGTTAAATTGAATGGAGTCGTGTGGCATAGGTGGTTGTGAACCGCGTGGGTGAGCAACTAGTGACAATCTGTCACGTAATCAATTCACTAGCGATCGATTTGTCACGGGATCGATCCTCTCACTCAGTCTCTAGTGGTTGCCTAAGGATGCTAAGCACAATTATGCACAATCCTTAGGTTGCTAAGCACAAGCATGCACAATCGACATGAACAATACCTCAATCATTGAATTAAACAATACCCAATGACAATCATTCAATCTAAACAAGTAATTACAAAGTATTAGTTAGGGATCTACAACACCCAAGAGAAACGAGTGAGTTTCTAGAGAGAGAGAGAAAGAGAGAGGGATTACAAGTTTGAGCTCAAGATCTTCTTCTTCTTCTAGGCTTGAATCTCCACCCAAGCCTCCAATGATGCTCCAAGATCACTCTAGCACTCTCTCTCTCTCACTAGAACTCCCCTTTGGTGTTTTTGGGCAAAACCCTAGAGAAAGAAACCAATTCTTCTCCAAAAACCAGTTGCCCCCTTCTCCTTCAGCTCCCCTCTCCTTTTATACCCAAATCAGGCTTAGTTCAAGGTCTTAGAGATGAGTTCAAGGCTGCGTTGATCAGTTCACGGTCTTAGTTCAAGGACGCGTTGAGCAGTTCACCGTCTTAGTTTAAGGACGGGTTGAACAGTTCACGGTCTTAGTTCAAGGACGCGTTGAGCAGTTCACGGTTTTAGACCTCAGTTCACGGCCGTGAACTTTGAAACGCGTCCGGGAACTCAGTGTTGAGACCAAAACGCACCGCTTCACATCCACAGTTCACGATTTGTGCTTAGAGTTCAGGGTCTTAGCGACCGTGAACTCACTCGGGGTCAGTAACCTTTGGATTCGCCCTAGATGCTTCGTGGTTCACGGATTTTGGCTCCAGTTCACGGTCCTGTAAGACCTTGAACTCCAATGGCAGACCTTGAACATAGGCTCTTTCCTCCTTTTTGCTCTTTTTCTTCCAACTTTCGACTCCGGGGTTGGTTTCACCTGTTGGATCCTGGAACACGCTAAAACACAAGAAAACTAGTGTAAAACAACCCTTTGAGGAGTGAAATTGCCACAAACGCCAAAGGAAAATGGGGGTAAAACATGTACAATTAGGCCCGAATCACTACCCCACACTTAGACGTTTGGTTGTCCCCAAGCAAACCAAGTACAAAACAAGGTAAGCTTACAACTTCTTTTTCAACACAAATTTTGAGGCATGTAATAGGGCACAAGACGAATGAATCACAATGGTTATTTGAGATCGACCTATGGACAAAAACAAAGTAATCTTGCCAACCTCCACAAACGAAATTCAACTGTAATAAGATTTTGCAAAAGAAGAGTTCTCATATTATTCACGAACCCACACACAACATGCCTTGACGACTCACCAATCACAGCTACTCATGCATGAAGATCACATCATAGGAACGAACGATCGAGCAACCTAGGTCCTCACCGGGGTATACGAAATGAACAAAACATGATGAAGAATCGCTCACTCTCGACTAGTGGGGTCAGGACCATTTGATGCAAAATATGTGCATATTCACGCTCAATCCTAACGTCCCTTTACCATGACGATAGCCTCTAAATGTTAGAGCTCACAAGATGGGTGTCGTTGCTAGCTTGTCCGGAGGTCTTGGACACAGGTTCAAATGACTGGCTAGGGTCTAGGACATGGGGAAAAGGCTTTTTGGGTGGTGGCAAACATAACACAAGGTTCCACATTTCCATCCTAAAACCACAAAAGGTTCTAAGGTTTCGATTAGAACCCTCTCCTATACTCAATGGCCACTAGCATCGGCCAAAAGCCACACTACCCTCGATTCCAAACCACAACCAATCACCAAACCATTCGCAACAATCTTTCTTGCTACCTTTTCTATTCAATTTCAAGCACAAGAGTGTGGTAGGCAAACAACATGTAAGTGTTCCTAAAGCTTGCATGCTAAGCAACACTTCTAAGAGAATGTTTAACATTTATTATATTTTTGGTGGCCACTCTCTTTTCTTCTTTGCCCACTTATTGATCTCTTTTTTTTTTTCTTATCTTTTCTTTGGGGGATAAAGAGAGCTATAAACATGCCACATTTTTTAACTTAAGGAACAATGCTCACTTTGAAAAACTACCTCCACACTCACTTCACCTCTTAGAAAAACCATACACAAAACACTCATGTGGAACCTCGTTTAAGCTCAAATGGTATGAATGGAGGTCCCAAACACAAGGGTGACTCGATAACGGTGTAGACACGAAGAAAGTAGGGTCGTTCTATCTTAATCAATCAAGCTCAAGTAGTGTGAGCTACCTAACACGAGAACGACCCTTAGACACACGGCTCAAAGGGTTTGACTAAGGGATGATATGATCGGGTCGGTCAACATTTGGGTCGTGGACTAAACCTATGCCTCCATCTTCCTCGCTAGCAACAACGTGAATGCTACGCATCATGTAAAGGGGGATCTATCACACAAGAACGAAACGAACGACACAAGTCTCACATGGCTACCTAGGTGCTCAATCATTCGTTCTAACTTCCTAAACTCGATGCATAGGCAACTGTGAAAAGCAAGTAACCGATTCAAAACATCTATCGGTTCACAAACACATGAGAAATGAACCTATGCACAAACCTAATACATGTCTCAGTCATCATCATAGGTTGCACACAATCACAAGCAAATTATCCCTAGACCATGCTAATAACCACGAGATTCAAAACAAATCACCACAAGATGCCACTATGATTATGCAAATGTAGAAATTGTTATGCTTGGAGCCCTCAAATTTTGAAAATTTGGGCATACAACTAGGCTCCAAGCATTCAAAATCACACCAAACATTCACACACACATGCGGAATAGACTACCTGCCCACACTTAAGCTCGACATTGCCCTCAATGGCGTAAAAGAAGGGGATAGAACGATGTTACCGGTCAAGTAATGAATGTTTGCACTTGAGAGCGAAGGGTGGGTGAGATCCGGAAGAGCTAGAAGATGGTAAAACACCACCAAAATCTCTTCATTGATCGTCTTATTGAAAGGAAAAGAGATGCAAACTGTTGATGGTTGGGTTTCCTCCCACCAAGCGCTTCTTTAACGTCGTGAGCCGGACGGTTGCTCTTCAAGTTTCGGTCCACCCAAGAACCTCCTTGAAGTTAAGGTTCTCGTTAGTGAGGTGATGTCTCAAGTCACGAGCATTGGACAAATCCATGATTGAGGGCTCGTGAACTTGATCGACTTTGAGGCTCCACCCACGAGACCTCTCCTTCTTTCCTTCTCCTTCTTTCTCTTTGCCCCACACCATGTAGTGCATCACTGATTTACCACCATCGCATCCACCA